GGAGAGGCAAGAAAACCTAAGAAGATGAATGACGATAAGTGAAAGGTTCTTGATCATAAAGCACTTATCACTATTAGGCTCAACCATCACCAATATGTGACTTACAACGTCTCACATGTGACCACCACCAAGGAGTTCATGGAGGCCCTAGATGCACTGTATGAGAAACTATCTACCTCAAATAAGGTGTACCTAATGAAGAAGCTATTCAATCTAAAGATACAATAAGGTGCTCGTGTAGTGGACTTCTTGAACAAATTTTAGACTGTGGTGCATTAGCTTGCTGCAATAGATCTTTTGTTCCATAATGAGATCCAAACTCTTCTGTTACTTTCTTGTCTACCAGATTCATGGGAGAATATGGTGATGACAGGGAGCAACACTAATGGCAATGACAATATGAAGCTCGACACGGTGATTGGGGCAATTCTGGATGAAGAATCTCGCTACAAAATATTAGAAGCTGAAGCATCTAGCAGTGAGAGTGCTCTGCATGTCGAGACGCGAGGGCGTATACAAATGAAGGGTAGGGGATGACGAAGCCAATCAAAGTCTAGAGGGAAGTCTAAAGGGCCGGACCCCGAATGGTTACAGTAAAGGGAAGTGCTTTAGATGTGTAAAGAAGGGTCACTTTGCACGACTCTGTAGAGCTTCTGTTCCAGCATCAATAGGGAATGATCAGGCTGACAGTGCAGCCAATCTTATGCATGATATGTATACGGATGCACTTCTCCTGTCTCTTGAAGACAAGAGCGATGCGTAGGTCACCGACTCTAGCGCATCTTTTCATGCAACCTCATAACAAAAGCTGCTTTCATCGTTCATGAAGAAGGACTTAGGGACAGTTTATCTTGGTGATGATTAACCTTGCAAGGTCTCGGGGAAGAAAAATTGTACCCTCAAGATGGAGGGTAGGACTATGTTGATGCTGAATGATGTTCAGCATGTACTGGATCTCAGATAGAGTCTTATAACAATCGGACAACTGACTAACTTTAGTTATAGAGTATCCTTCAAGCAAGAAAGCTGGAAGGTGTCCAAAGGTGCCCTGGTGGTAGCACATAGCAAACACGAGGGGTCTCTCTACATCGCTAATGGGAAGATCGACCGCTAGCTTGCCGTAGTACAAGCATCATCATCATCCGCTAACTACATGGATTGGCATCAATGACTTAGTTACATGAGCGAGAAGGGGATGCAGATTATGTCCACGGGGGAGAGGCTTTCAGGTCTGAGCAAGATCGATCTGACTTTCTGTGAGGACTGCATCCTAGGCAAACGAAAGAAGGTGAGCTTCAATAAGACCAGGCCGACTCCAAAACTACAGAACTTAGAGTTGGTGCACACCGACATGTGGGCACCTGCACAAGTCCCATATGTTGGTAACTCTCTTTACTTAATCTCTTTCATTGATGATGCTACTAGAAAACTATGGGTGTTCTTCTTGAAGCACAAGTTAGATGTTTTCATCATCTTTAAGAAATGGCTTGCCTGTATGGAGAATGAAATAGGCAATAAGCTGAAGTGTCTAAAGTCTGATAATGAAGGCGAGTATTGCAGTTAGGAGTTCAAGAACTTCTACTGGTCCTATAGGATTAGGAGACTGACGACCGTTCTAGGCATACCTCAGTACAATGGAATGGCGGAGCGAATGAGTCGCACTATCTTGGAGCACGTCAGAAGTATGAGGATCCACTCCAGATTGCCCAAGAGTTTTTGGGCTGATGCTTTGAATACTGTTGCATACTTGATCAATCGCAGGCCATCCGTGGCTCTCACTTATAGGATACCTAAAGAGGCTTGGACCGGAAAGAAGCTGAAGATAAAATACTTACGAGTATTTGGTTGTGAAGCCTATGCCATGACCAATCCTACAGACTGATCAAAGCTTGATCCAAAATTAAAGAAGCTCTCTTTCATCAGCTATGGAGGAGATGAGTATGGGTACCGTTTCTAGGATCAAGATGCGCGTAAGGTAGTGCACAGTCGTGACGTTATGTTCCATGAGGATGTGACATACAAGACCAAAAAGGTGAGTGGGAGTCAGCTATCTCCCCTTTTTCCCCAGATATTACTGACAATGAGGACGGTAGTGAGATACCAGTCAGTATAAAAGACAAAGACCAAGAGAATGTGCCGGATACATAGCAACATGATCCAGCAGAACTGCCGATCGTAGTTCGTAAAGCTCCAACAAATCCGAGGGTGCCAGAGAGGTACCTTTCCACTATAAATTATCTTCTCCTAACTGACAGTGGTGAGCCAGAGAACTATGAGGAGGTACAACAGACTGAAAAAGTTCAGGACTAGTAGGAGTCTGCCATAGAGGAAGAAATAAAATCCTTGACGAAGAATGGGACTTGGGAGCTCGTAAAGCTTCAAAGTGGGTGAAAGTCTCTTCAAAATAAGTAGATTTATCGGGTCAAGGATGAAGCCGATGGACGGAGATGCTACAAGGTGAGGCTTGTAGTGAAGGGCTATGAGCAGAAAGCAGGGATAGACTATTCTAACCTTTTCGCTCTTGTCGTCAAGTTGACCATGATCCCGACTATGTTGAGCATTGTGGAAGTTTGAGATCTCCATCTAGAGCAGATGGATGTGAAGATAATATTCTTTCATGGAGATTTAGAGGAATAAGTCTATATGCATCAACCAGTGGGCTTCGAGGAACAAGGTAGGGAGGGCCTCATGTGTCGCCTGCGTAAAATCTTGTATGGCCTAAAGCAAGCTCCCTGATAGTAGAACATGAAGTTCGAGAACTTTATGGAGGAGAACGATTTTCTCAAATGCGATACAGACCTCTACTTCATCAAGAGGTATAGCGAATCCTATGTGATACTCTTGATTTATGTTGATGACATGTTGATTGCAGGGCCCGACTTGACCCGCATTGAGGAACTCAAGGGGCGACTCTCTGAGTGCTTCGAGATGAAGGATTTGGATCTAGCAAACCAAGTTATTGAGATGATGATCATCAGAGATAGGTCAACACATAGGCTGAGGTTGTCTCAGAAGGCCTATATTGAGAAGGTTCTTGAAAAGTTTGGCATGGAGAAGCAAAACCGGTGGACTCGCCGTTTGCGAGCCATTTGAAGCTATCGAAGACCCAAGCACCAAAGATTGCTGAAGAGCATGAGTTCGTGGCCAACATACTATACGCATTTGTCGTCGAGAGTTTGAAGTATGTGATGGTGTGCATGAGGCCAAATATTGCACAATGAGTAGGAGTTGTGAGCCTCTTCATGAGCAATCCAAGGAAGCACCACTGGGGTGTAGTCAAGTGGCTTCTATACTACTTGAGATGCTTGTCCGACCATTGTATTGAGTATGGAGTGGTGGATTTATAGTTAGAGGGCTTTTCTGATGCAGACTACACCGAGGACATAGACTCAAGAAGGAGCACGAGCGGCTACATCTTCATCTTGGATGGTGGAGCGATAAGTTAGAGATCCTAGTTATAGGATACTGTGGCTATGTCGACGACTGAAACCGAGAACGTGTCTGCAGCAGAGGCAGCAAAGGAGTTGCTATGGTTGAAAGCTTCTCTTCTTGAGCTTAGGGTAAGCTTTGAGAAATACTTCATCCATTGCGACAATCAAAGTGACATTCACTTGTTAGAGAACGACACATTTCATACTCGGAACAAACATGTTAACATGAAGCATCATGCCATATGGAGATGGCAAAGTAGGATCAAGATTAAGCTTGTAAACATTTATACGAGGTACAATCCAGGCAATATGCAAACCAAGCCAGTTCCGCTCGAGAAGATGAGGCTGTGTGTAGCCTCATATGGTCCCCGTTGAGAACATTGAGGGTTGTTCAAGATGCCAAAGATACAAGACATCCGAAAGATGCAACCAAGAAATAGAGTTTGTTGAGAAGACTCTCCAAGTGGGAGATTGTTGAGAACGTTGAGGCTGTGTGGATAGCCTTCTCACCTACCCCTGCTACAGTATTCACCTACTCCTAAATAGTGTTCACCTATCCCTTGCTATAGTGTTCACCTACCCCAAATAGTGTTCACCTACCCCCTATGAGAAAACTTATAAATACCCCCCTAAGTTTGATTTTTAAAGTATCTTAGTAGCAGAGAGAGAAAGAGAAAGATACAGATATAAGTAATATCATTGAGAGATCTTGAGAGAGAGTTTGTGAGAATTTTTGATGAGTATCTTGATCAAGAGAGGGTGTTCTCTTTTATCTTTTTTCCTTTGTAATCTAGAAAGGAATTTGGTGTCGTCATTGCACCGTGGAGTAGCTCTGTAAGAGTGAACGACGTTAAATCTGTGAGTACTGTGATTGAATTCATGTTTGCTAGTTCTATGATTCTATGATCATTTGGATATGTTTTGCATCTTCGTTTGAGGTGTTCTTGTTGGTGTGTACCCTAACACTGCTACAATTTTACACGCCATACAAATACTTTATAAAGAAGCTTCAATCAATTATTGTGGAACAATATATGGGTCTAGTGTTCTCAACATTTCACTCTATATAATAGGGCTGATTGTGAATACACCCCCTATAGCATCACCTAATTGCGAATAGACTCCCTTGTAGTTCTATTTGTACGAATAGACCCCCTGCAGTATAACCCAATTGCCAATAGACTTCCCTATAGTTTTATTTTTGTGAATAGACCCCCCCCCCCCCCCCTTTCTTTTGACGAATAAAATCATTAAAAAGGTTTGAGGAGTTGAATAGACCACATATAGTTCTATCGGTGAGGATTGAACCCCGGTTGCTAAATTTGTTTACTTTTAAATAGAGTCGAAAAAATTTCACTAAGGAGGTGTATTCGCACTTGGGCCAATACTAAAGGGGTCTATTCATAATTAGGAGATAGTGCAGGAGGCCTATTCCCAATTACTCCCATATGATAACTCATTAAGGCTTAAGATCCTCATAACTTGTGTACTTGAGTTTTTTTAACAAGATATGCTAATATCTAACTGTTTTGACATAATTTCTGCATCCATGTGATTGTTTTCTTATAGGTTGTACCCAAGCTATCTTGCCCGATTGCATTGTGTACATATTACAACCCTATTTTGAGGCGTGGTACTCAGGAGTTCATGTCTACCATCAAAGAAATTGGAGTACAGGGTGATTTTTCATCTCATTCGAATAAAATGCCTCTTAATTGTTTGAAAGTTTTATCACCTTGGAGTACAGGGTGATTTTTCATCTCATTCGAATAAAATGCCTCTTAATTGTTTGAAAGTTTTATCACCTTGCATAGTTTCATTCTTATTGATATTCCACGAATAAAATGCCTCTTAATTGTTTGAAAGTTTTATCACCTTGCATAGTTTCATTCTTATTGATATTCCAACTGTTTACATGGTTAGATACGCTTAACTAGATAATTTTCTAATGTAGGTTGTTTTCTATCCATGAGCTCCAGAACCTAATAGGAGGCAAATTTTGACACTACTTATCTACTTTGGTTCATACAAAGTTTTTCATCAATGTGTATGGCTGGAATCAAAATATTAATGTTTTAATCTTTTGTATGCTGAACAATGACATTGATGTCAAAAGGCATCTTATCATATTCAGGCAATGCAATGATGTAACAGATCTCAAGAGCACAACATCAGAGATCTCTCTCAAATTAAAAACCATAAATTAGTCCAAAAATATAGATAATTACTAACAAATGAGTTTGATGCAAATATGATTCAAGCACACTATTTAATAATTAATCGTGAGTCATGACTCTAGTAAACAATATAAACAATATAAGGAAAAAAGTGATCTTGTAGAACGATGAGACTTTTTACGATTTATTTCTTCATTGCCATGTTGAGCTTAAGACTTTTTGCTCCATCACGGAGAAAGGTGGAGTAGCCTAAAAAGAGCAGGAAAACATACGAAAGCATCATTCTCTCTCTCTCTCTGAGCCTATGCCTTTATAGCTCAACTGGCATTTGATTATGAGCAAAATGTCTGATAATGTACCTATATTTTGTTGGCTGTATTTCCAATCTTTGGTAAATATAAGTTTAGTTTTCTATATTTTGAGTCTTGCTCATCATCTTATTATGGCAACTGCTGCCTTCACCAGTTTTCTGAAATTGTATTGCATTTTCCTTTAGCTTGTCACTGATAGCAAAATAAGCTTATTCATATATTCTGACTTTTTCGCTGCTCCAGTTACAATGCTTACATCTTATCCTCTGTCAATCGTTGTTATTTTCTAGTTAAATGTGATAACGGTTACATGATGGATGTGCCAGGCTCATATCAAATTTATCTACGCTCATATCACATTTTCTAGTTAAATGTGATAACGGTTACATGATGGATGTGCCTGATATTCCTCTGGAGGAGACCACAATTTTACGGAAAGAAGCAGCCGACCATAACATTGAGTTAGTAAGTCCCTCCTTATACACTTCTTTAGCTATATTTTCTAAAGCTATATTTTTTTTGCAATATCAATAAATTACTGACTCTAATTTAACTATATTTAAAGCTTTCGGAAATAAGAAGACGCCTAGTCTACTTTAGCTATATGTTCTCCTGTGATGGTCATTCTCATTCTATATTGTCTTTATGGTGAGTCAGGATCATCTGTTAGTAAGTCCCTCCGTACTAATTTTTTACCTTCGTCAGGGGATCATTCATGAAGAAATCAGTATCTCCAGTGAATTTTGTTTTGAAACTTTGACGAGCGCTCAATTATTTCTTTTCTTACTATTTCTTTACTATCTTTTCTTTAGTCGCTCCTTGCGTTCCTCAAGTAAAAATGTCTCTTTCCTTCTACATCCAGTAGCTAGATTTTCTACTTTGGTGATGTAGGACTCTTAACAGATAATTTCATGGAGGATTCGGACAATCACGAACTAAATATAGATTTCTACGTATTATTAACTTTCGCAAAGAAACAATCATATCTTCCAACCCAGAAGGCGGATTCTGGCATATTATATATGTAAATCACCTTTTTTGATAAGACGGAGCCAACTAGATTGTCAGATTTTTAAATCTTATCAGTAATACCCAGTTTTGACCAAAATCTGTAAATAATCAGATTTTAGTTTATTTTTAGTAATAAAGTTGGAGTCTATTTAGATTAGAAAATAAATTTAATATTAGAGTCAAATTAGATTAGGAAACAAATTTAATTATGATTCGTGATTTATTTCATCTATTATAAGAAGTCTTTTTTAGGATATAATTTGATACTTTCTATTTCTTTGTAATTCTAGTCTTACTATGAGTCTTATTTATTTTTCTATTTAAGAAGAGTCGTGTAACCCTAAAAAATAATAATTTTTCATCAATAAAATTTCTCTGTCAATATTTTCTTCATGGATTCGAAGTTCTTCATGGATTCGGAGATCAGTCTTTATGGATTCAGATTCTGTCAATATTTTCTTCATGGATTCGAAGTTCTTCATGGATTCGGAGATCAGTCTTTATGGATTCAGAGAACACCCCTTGGTGGATTATAAGGTTATAGTTCTTCATGGATTCGGAGATCAGTCTTTATGGATTCAGAGAACACCCCTTGGTGGATTATAAGGTTATAACTTTCACGCTGCATTAGTATCAGAGCAGGTTCCTCCGATCTGATGGTAGGCAACAAAACCCCTATTTCTAGAACTAAGTTCGATAAGTTGAAGATCGATGTTAATCAGATAAAGACTTCTTTAGAGCGACTTGTGTCGGCAGTGAAGTGTCTGAATACGGTGGGAGTTCGAAATAGCGTTGATAGTCGCCAGCAACGTGATCCGGCTCCACATGAATATAATAGCGACAATGACCCTAAGAAAGACCTTGGAGTTGGGAAGAGCACTAAAGAAGCAATAAAGAAAGAAGAACCACCTTCGAGGCATAATATCTTTCACACGAGATGCACTATAATGCAAAAGGTTTGTGATGATATCATTGATAGTCACAGTAGCAAGAATCTTGTCTCTCGGCATATAGTGAATAAGTTAGGTTTGAAGATAGAGAAATACCCACCTCTCTATAAGATCGACTGGATTCACAAGGGCAATGATGTGCAGAACGATGAGATGTGTCGGGTATCTTTTTCTATCGGCCATAATTATGTTGATGAGGTTTTATATGATGTGGTCAAGATGAATACTTGTCATATGCTTTTAGATAGGCCATGACAATTCGATATTGGAGCTGCCCATAGGAGCAGAGACAATGCTTGTATCTTCAAGAAAGATGGATGTCGAATTGTACTTATGCCTCTTACAGAAAAGGAGCCATCTAAGATAAAGACTACTGAGAAGAAGAGACTCTTGGTGACAAGCAACGAGACTTTAGGAGAAAACTTGAAGCAATCTGATGAGGTCTATGACTTGGTTGTAACTGAAAAAGAAGAACCTGCCCCTACCAAAATTCCTCCTAACGTGCAAACACTCATTATGCATGAGATTCGTAATGCTAATGGAGATATGTTAGTGAAGATATATATTATGCAAGATATTTTCAAAGAGGTTATGAGCGATATTGTACACATTAACGATGTCCTAATGGAAGAGAAGGATAAAATAGAGAGTGAAGAAATTGATGGTATGTGTGAATTGCTTAGTGGAGGTCTCGAGGTAAAGAAGGTGAAAGAATTATGTATGAAGTATGAGGGAGAAAATTCTTTTTTGGAAGCAATGATCATCAATAATTTCAACAACTATGAGATGATACCACCAACACTAGAATATAGGAAGCAACACGGAAAATGTTTGGAAGAGTTTTTCATGTCAACTACAAAGCCACATACTGTCAATTACATACACATATAATGGGAAAGATTCATACACAAGTTTGATATAGAAGAAGTCATAGGAGAGGAGGTAAAAGAATAAACGGAGAAAATCAACGTTAAATACAAGACAGATGTTGATGGTTGTAAGAGAAGAAAATTATTTAATAATGAAGCTACTATTCTAAAAAATATAAGCTCGGGTCGAGATTTTTTCAACAAGAGGAGACTAATGTAGGACAGCTTAACAGATAATTTTATGGAGGATTCGGAAAATCACGTGCTAAATACAGATTTTTACGTATTATTAACTTTTGTAAAGAAATAATCATATCTTCCAACCCAAAAGAGGGATTCTGACATTATATATGTAAATCACCTATCTCGACGAGACGGAGCCCACTAGATTGTTAGATTTTTAAAATCTCATTAGTAATACCTAGTTTTGGTTAAAATCTAAAAATAATTTATTTTTAGTAATAAAGTTGGAGTCTATTTAGATTAGGAAATAAATTCAATATTAGAGTTAAATTAGCTTAGAAAACAAATTCAATTTTGATTTATGATTTGTTTCCTCTATTATAAGGAGTCTTTTTAGGATAGAATTTGATATTTTTTATTTCTTTTTATTTCTAGTCTTACTATGAGTCTTATTTGTTTTTCTATTTAAGAAGAGTCATGTAACCCCAAAGAAGAATAACTTTTCATTTATAAGATTTTTCTTTCAATATTTTCTTTGTGGATTCGAAGTTTTTCATAGATTCGGAGATCGTTCTTTATAGATTCAGAGAATACTCATTGGTGGATTCCAAGGTTATCACTTCCGCGTTGTGTTATTTGGCTTCCTTATTCTTCCTTATTCTGTCTTCATACAATCAATTCTAATTGTAAGAACACTTAACAAAATTATCTCATTATTGGGCTCTTCAATCGTAACATCTCCTTAACATTATAAATAGTCACAGTTGGACCAAAGGACCGGATGTTAGAGCTTGGACAAAGGGTGTCTTCACGATGAAATCTCTTTATCGTTCCCTCAACAAACCGTCTCCAAAGCATCTCATCTCTCCTTCAACTATGGTTGGCACGTGCTCTTCTAAAGGTCAAAATTCTCATGCTAGGAAGGGGTTGGCCACATATGCCTGCACGTTTCATATTTTCATTCGATGCTCTTTCGCTCTTAGTATTTGGAACTGTTGGATTTTTTTGGTCAAAACTGTTTTCCAAAATTAGTTTTCAAACTATATATATATATATATCGTAGGCCGTGGGCCAATGGGCCGGGGATCGGGGCTAATCGGGCTGAGGCACTAAGTGACGCTTTGTTAGGTGTACTTTGCACTTCGCACGGAGGCATCAGGGCGAGGTGGCGCCACGTTGGTTGCCATGAAGGTTGTCTCGTAGGCTTCATTCGACGAGGTTTGTCTATCATACGAGGTTCGCCTGTTTGACGAGGTTCGTCTGTCATACGAGGTTCGCCTATTTGACTATGTTCGCTCGTTCGACAAGGTTTGTCTGTCATACTAGGTTCACCTGTTTGATGACGTTCGTTTATCAAATGAGGTTCGTCTGATTTGCTGAGACGTGACCCTCGCGTTTCGTAGCAACATGTCCATTGATTGTCTCGTATTCAGCAGTTACTACATGCATCAGTTACAACAGCATTAAGAGCAATTTAATACAATGATGTTACAATCTTAATTATCATTAAGAATTATAATGGTCACATTAATTGCTAATGACTCTTGAACTGGCCTTAAAGGCCTATAAATAGCATCCTTGGATAGCTCTTGGTCGTTATTGGAAAATCTCTCGCAAGCGTGGAATATGAACGTAAGTGTAGAATATGAACGTTAGAATACCCACGCGAGCTTGGAATACCCACGCGAGCTTAGAATACGAACGTCAGATTAATGTTGTTGCTGTGCTGTTGCAGCAGAAACTGTGCTCGCAGGAACCCTGAAACCGAAAGGTTTTGAACCATAAGGTTCTGATATCGAGGAGATCTTTTGCCTTGACCGAAAGGTCTTATAGATCGAGGAGATCTTGACCAAAAGGTTTGTCTGCCATACGGGAGTCTTAGGCTTTTGTTAATTGCTTACGCTCACAAGTTGAAATAGAAAATGTACATAATAACTGTGAGCCTGAAAATCACATGATTATCTTCTTATTTTCTACATGACAAGCACATTGTGTGAACACAAACGAACTTGTGTGGTCATGCGGGTCTTCAACGTATCGCCTGGTTAACTTTCGCATCGTTTTTATGTAGGTGTTGCTTACAACTCCAACTACTCCCTCGGAACGAATGAAAGCAATTGTCGAAGCTGCGGAAGGATTTGTATACCTTGTAAGTTCATTTTATTATTTTTTCAGTCATCTTAATTTGCAAGCTGAATTCAGAAGCATGCAAGAAATTAATGTTCTTCATTCTTTATGTACTTATATCCTACCTCTTCGAATTGGCTGTAATTTTCTGAAATAGGTGAGCTCTGTTGGTGTTAGCGGTGCCCAATCATCAGTAAGTTCACATGTTCCATCTCTCTTACAAGAAATCAAAGAGGTACTTCCACTTCATTCCTACCCTTTCTTGCTATCAACCTTAAATAGTTATATTTGGTTTCTACAGTGAAACATTTTCATTTATTTAGTTTCATTTTTATTTTATTTTTCTTATAGCTGAAATATCACTTAACACAAACTAATAGTAGTAGCATAAGATACACTATAGCAAGGTGCGCAAAGGCAGTAATAAAATTTAATGTTGTCAAGTAATAATATGCTTAATTGGAGATCTTTCAGAAAAACGGTGAATTCGATAGAAGTAGAAAAAGGCATTTTTTGTGTATGTGTATCTTTAAACATTTTTAGCATTTTTTTAGTGTGGTACTCTGAGCTAAAACCTAAATGGAATAAATACATGAGACATGATGGACCACAGTGTGTGAAACACCAATGTCACAAGATTAAATGACAAATGTGGTTATTTCACTATTTGTGAACTATAAAGAGTAATCTGGACGAAACGAGTGCAGTGGAATTACCTTATTGTTTTATTTATTCCTTTTGTTATTGAGAAAGAAGTACACAAATCAATATTATGTTTTAAGAGCCTGTTTGGTTATTTCCTAAAAAACCAAAAAATAAAATGAAAACCAAGAAATCTCAAAAAGTACAATTTCACACATTCTCATCCCTAAAACTCACCCACAACATTTAATAAAATATTATTTTTATCCAACAACTCATCTACCACATCTAATAAAATATTATTTTTATCCAACAACTCATCCATCACATCCACCACATCTAATAAAATATTATTTTCATCCACAACATCACTCAACTCATCTCATCTCATATTTAAAAATCACTCACATCATCCAATAAGATTGTGACAACTCATCTCATCTCATTAACATTTCATTTCTTTATTTTCCTTCCAAAAAGCTAGGAATTAAAACAATTTCCTTAAGTGTGAGTCACATCATCCAATAATATAATGATAACTCATCTCATCTCATCTATTTTCTTATTTTTAAGAAATAACCAAACAAAAGAAAACAACCTATTATAAGAAATAGGTTTCTTATAACTCATTTCCTTATTTTTTTCCGCCAACCAAACAACATCAAAACAAGTTTTCTTAAAAAATCACTCACATCATCCTATAATAAGGTGACAACTCATCTCATCTCATCTCTATTTCTTTGATTTCCTTCTTTTTTTAGCCAACCAAACAATCTCAAAACTTATTTTTCTTAGAAATAGGTTTCCTTTTCTTTGATTTCCCTCTTTTTTTAGGCAAACAAACATAAGATAAAAAAGAGAGAGAAAATGAGAAATCAGGCTACAATCATCAATCATATCATCAAAGTAGAAAACAACAATAAAAAATGAAGTGCCTAGTGGTAGATAGCAAAGGCAGATAAATAAAGCAAGTAGACTCTATGATAGGCAGTCTCAAGTTTATTAATGAGCAAGACATTTTACTATATTTGAATAGTACCTTAGTCACAGGAAAGCATAATCAGGTTATTTGTATAATGAAACTAAATTTGAATAGGTTTTTATACCTAATCAAATACACCATTTGTTGTATATATATCGTTACCATTGACGATTACAGGCATCAACCAAACCTGTTGCTGTAGGATTTGGCATATCGAAACCCGACCATGTGAAGCAGGTTTGTTGTATGAAAATACTAGCATTCAATGACTTATTATATTAAAAATTTAAACACTGTATATTATATACTTACTCTTCATAGTTGATACAGATGGCGAGCTGGGGAGCAGACGGCATGATTGTTGGAAGTGCACTGGTGAGGATTTTAGGAGAGGCAAAATCACCTGAAGAAGGCTTGAAGAAGCTAGAATCCTTCACCAAGATTCTCAAAGCTTCACTCTGAGCACATATCGGTGGAGAAGTTCTGATATATTATAGCGTCTATTTTCTATTAATGCAAAGGCATAGCAATTTGTTACTCAACTTCCTGTCATAATGTTTAGGGTTACAACTTAAGGTGTTTCCTTCTAATATCTGGCCACTGAATATTACAAGGGAAAAGAAAAGAAAAAAATGTCTTATGATTCTTGATTGCCTTAGATTTTTTTTGGCCCTTCAAATTTTCCCTTGAATCGTCTTAGTATCCCTACTCCAAATTCATTCTTTTAACCATTTTATTACATATGTCTGTAGGCATCAAAAATTGCCTATTGGTCTTAAACAAAGCTCAAGATGAAAAGAAGACGAAGAACATCTTCATCTAAGTCAGAAGAGGTCATCGGATGCAAAAAAAAAAGCAAAGGAACGCACGAAACAATGAAACGACAGAACTCGAAGCTGTCTCACAATTGTCTCACAATTAGTGAGATAGCATACACTATCTATACTTCTAAGACATTGTAATGTATCTCAAAATCCGAGACAGCATGAGTTGTCTTGGAAATGGTGAGGCATCGCGACGTCTTTTTGGTGGTTTTCTCAAGTTTTGTGTGACCCACGTGGCTCCATATCTTCTTGGGAACATCCATATACATAGAGAGGTCATTACAAACTAAAAATACACAAAAAATCCCCGAGAATCACAGCATTTAACGGAATCGACATCGGTTACAAAATTGTTTGGAACAATCCCTTCATCCGAGATAGTGAACACTATTTTGAAAATGGGAGTTGTCAGGTGAGGTTTGTTTCACATTCTTATCTTTAGAAAAGGCTTCCAAAGGTTATAAATACCTCCTCTACACCCATATGCACAAGGGGGGACCCAATTGACGGCAGAGACTTGAGCTTTTGGCGAATTCTGAGAGCAAGAGAGAGAGAGAGTCACAATCTATTTTCGAGAGATCTCAAAGACCTTTAGCGTTTCCTCGATTTCAATTGTTGATTTGATATCGGGAAGAGTATTTATCTTACTTGGCTAGGATATCAACTTTTGTTCTTATTTCTAAAACAAAACAACGACTTAAAGCCTTCTTCACGATCAACCCGGATCATTAAATTGGTGGTCTACGCATCAAAGCGTCTCTAGCACAGACGAAGATCCCACGCAAGTAGAGACTAAAAAATAGTTTTTGCATGTGTTTCTAGGGAATACCCCTTTTTGTTTTCTTTGTAAGGAGAAGTTTTATAAAAAAAACTTACTCTTTTTTTCCCTTGTAAACGATAAACATTATAAATGGAAGGTGCAATGAAAATCATTCCTGACGCAAAAACGCTGGCGACCACAGTGGGAGCCAATGATCTCACTACCATGATTGGCGTGTCAAAACCTATCAAGATTCCGGTTGACTCAAAGGTCAAGTATGAGTTCGACCAAGTGAAGTTTGAGGAGTACCTTTCATCATTGTCCTCCTCAAGATCCTTCTCGCCCTACAAGTGTAGGATGATTACATCATCAAAGAAGATTTTTTGGTCTTCAACTTTGATGAAGGCTATGGGCGATGACTCTCGCCCAATCGTTGCAGAGGCTTCCCCTCATAATTCTACTCAGGCAATCAATAAGAGCAGAGGTTCTTCTCATGATAACTCCTCTCCAGTTAAGGAGTTGTTCGATCAAAGTTTGCTAACTCTGAGTAAGAGGGCTTAACAGAGACAATGCCAAAGCCCTAGAATTAGTCGATAGGATTCATTACTATGAGGATATGGAGTCAAGGGGGTGTCAACTCCAATATCAAGTTACTGTTGTTTCCTCCAAACCTTCGACCGATAAATGAGTCCGTATCAAAAGAACCCGTTCGACAAGGAGGGAGTGTATCCAAAACCGTTGTGCACGTGCCACTCACACTCGTGCACTTGTGTAAAAGGCGCAATAAATGAAGGAGGTGGACGAAAAAACACCAAAATCCTACAAGGTTTTGATGCCAAAGTCCAAAACTACGTTGAAACCAAGTGTGAGGATAAGAGGGTGGTGTCCCCCATGGCCAAGATAGCTTAAGCTATCTCGCGGGCTAAGACAATTCCTCCCGTCTCACACAAGTCCAAGACATGCCAAGCTATCTCGCCCGAGGAACCATCTCCGTGCCGGTTTCTTCGCCTCTGTCGATGTTCGTTCCTAAGCCATCTTCTAACATAACTCTGGTGCAGCCTCAGGGCAGCCTTAACCTTTCACAGTTTAAGATTATGATGGCTGATCGCCTTAGACCTCTGCACGAAGATTTGGGCAAACCTCTGGTGAATAAAACTTGAGTAACTTTGTAGGCTAGGGGTCATACACATCCTCCCATCAAAATTCCTATCACCACTCGCCTAGGGGTTCGTGTCAGAACCCAGGAGCCCATTAAGATTCCACACTCACAAGGGGGTGGTTCTAAATGTACGACTCCTAAAAATGCCAACAAAACTTTACGTCCCTAGAAGAAGACGTGTCCGTCAAAAGATAACGTTATACCTAGGAGGTCACATCAACAATTGATAGGGTTCTCCAGTCATCATGCCGATGAGTTGTACTATCAGGTTAGGGGTGTAAACAAATCTTAAAAGAGAACTATTTGAGAGTTGAGCTATCATTGTCCATGTGAGAGGCTCATCAGGACAGTATTATCAGAATGTAGCTGCTCCAAGACCACTCCACAAAGAGTCTTAGTATTCGAGAGACTATTAACTAAAGAATCAAAGCCTATGCCAAGACATTTCCATAAAAGAAGATCGGTCGTCCAAGATGATAAACTCCCACAAGCCACTATCAACATGGATGATAAAGGAAAATGACATTCAACTAATTCTGACCCTGATTTTTCCCTGGGAAGAAGGGTCGGTCAAAGGCTCTCTTAAAGAATGTCTCGGATTTAGCTAAGATCCACTAAACGTAGAGTTACAGAAGGATGCACGAAGGAATTTCCTCGGAGGATGAACTCTCAGATGCTTACTCTACAATCGCCTCCGACGATACAATGTCCAGCATAGGGCGAGCTAGGGAGGAATTCACCATCACTCCTGACCAGCTAGCTCAAAGGCTTCAGAATGCACTAACTCGACAATGAGAAGAAATTCGAGCTGAAATGAAGATGGAGATGAAGTTGGTCATGCAACAAATGAGAGAGTTGTAGGCTCAGTCACATCAACCACCTGAATCCAATCAACGAGCTGAGTCCAGTCATTGAAACACCACATTGATTCAAGCCAATACTGAAGACAATGACGCGGATGCAGATGAACATATTGTTGTTGATCCTCCTCCTAACGACAATAATGTTGGGAGTGGCCCATCTGATTCTTCTTAACATCGCCTAAAGAAAGATAAAGGCGAGGACAAGAAGATGAAGGAGCTTGAAAGCAAAGTCGATGCTTTAATGTCTGCACAAGAGGTAAAAAAGATTGGCATTCCATACCCATACCCGAGAGAGTGGGAGTCAATTTCATACCCGGGGAAGTTTAATTTAATTAACTTCACGCCATTTGATGGTAGAGGCTCGCCTACTCAGCACTTAATCTATTTCAAGTCCTATTTAAGGATGATCTCTAGACACGAACCCTTAATGGTCCGGTCATTCGTAGGCACCTTTCACAGGGCCGCCTTTGATTGATACCGACATCTCAAGTCAGAGAGCATCAATATTTAGGATGACATGGAAAGATTTTTTTCTTAGTAACTTTTTTGATGATGACACTGAGGTGTCGATCTGAACTCTGCTGGACGAGAAGCAGAAAGACGGAGAGTCAGTTGATAACTTCGTCAAACGCTTATGGAACAATACCATGAACTACCAAGATCCAGTTACAGAGGAATACATCTTGTAGACATGCCATAACATTCTCTTCCTTGATGTCTTAGAAGCCATAGGGGTGTACCATCCAAAACCTGGAAAGAGTTAAAAATGCATAGAGAACAAGTCGAGCATTTTCTCAAAAGAAAGAAGATTGAGAGAAGCCAACCGATAGCGAATTTCACTCTTCAAAGTAAAGGAAAGGCACATGCGACTATTGTTGATGCTCATCAAACATCACAACATCAACCTTATAGGCACTGAAGGACTTTGGACCCGATATTCTTGAAAGAATACTCCTTCAAAGATGATGAGGTTCCGGCCATCTTCAAGTACCTCGTTGGTAAAACTAAAATCAAGCTGCCACCTATTACATATCAGGAGGAAGCCAACAAGACTTCGAACATAAAATATTATACAAATCACAAGAGGGTTCAACATCCCACTAAGATTTTTTTTCCTCTTAAAGACAACATTCAAGCCTTGGTTGATGCCGACATGATAACGGTTCCTCCGATGGATATACGAGGTTAAACTGCACCCTAACCTCCAACAGGGTATACGAGGTTAAACCGTTCCCTTAAGCCGCATGCTCCAACCACGTGGCTGAATATAAGGTACTCCTCATTGGACTCAGTTTCATCAAAGAGCTAGGGTGGATACGAAATTCGATGAGAGTAAGAAGTGAGAGATGGAAAATTTATTTGAAGACTTCTTCATCGAGTACATCCCGTATCTCCAGAACATTCATGCATATAATGGCAGTAATGCCCATCCAACGGGAAGTTCCTGCAGAATACTACATATGCTATTCTTAAGGATAACCCAAAATTAACTGACTATTCAAGATGAAAACTAACCATCTGAATAATTCAAATGATTAAAACTCTCCCACTGTGGTTATTTAATCATTATCAAGATGATTAAAACCCTCCCAATAATTCAAATGATTAAAACTCTCCCACTGTGGTTATTTAATCATTATCAAGATGATTAAAACCCTCCCACTATGACTCTTTGTGCACTTTTCCCCACTGTGGTTATTTAATCATTATCAAGATGATTAAAACCCTCCCACTATGACTCTTTGTGCACTTTTCCGTTGGGACGGAAATTTGATGACTCTATTTGGTCAATCTTCCTTCACAAAACCCCCACTATGTCGGCAAAGTGATTTGTACAACCAACACTCTTCCATTGTTATATGTACTACCTTCACTCCCATTTGGTTAAACCTTTAGACAATTAAGACCAAAGCCAAAATCCCCTCTTGATTCCTTCCATGAATGAGAGGTCCACTCAAATTGAACGATTAAACCTTGAGATAGTTAGGGTCGTCTCAAACTCCCACTTGGACAAACCTT